TTCGCCTATTTACAATAAACCTGTGGGCAATGCCACGCAAATACTGTTCCTTCTCATTCTATGCCCTCATCATAGATGAGTTGACAGCCCCGTGTCAGCGCTCAATCTACATCAGTATGTCGATATATATAGACAATATCAGTATCTACAGTGTGTCGTCGTTCTCTGACGCTATATACGGGAGACTAGCTCATATCTCTACGTATATACGCCTATGATAAAATGCAGCAGCGCGTCCATAGTTTAGTATGAGGTTATCTGGACGCCTCGCGTCACTAGTACAGGTGCATTACCTGTCACAAATGTACATACTGCAACTATGCGTGATAGCTACACTCATAACGTGCAGATTTCGCAACTGAGAATCCGATGTTCGAATCCCAGGGCTACTTTTCGCTACATTCTTACTACTTTTTTAATTCTATCGTGCGTCAGCGACGCTCGCACAAGTAGAAAAGCTCGCTTCGTTGATAGGGTTCTGCACTGTTTCCGTGGTGAAGGGACTTTCGTTCTCAAACACGAACTCGTACGGAAACCCCTGCTGTCTACTAGAGGTCGCGAGTTCGACTCTAGTAGAGGGCGGTCAGAACCGTGAACCTTTTGCTTTTTACTTTCCGAGTGCAGCTGTTGTTCGCCGACGTTGACGCTAGTAATTACCTGCATCACTGTTAGAATTTCATCCTTAACAGTGTGCTAGAGGGTGCTATCGTGATGACGTTACAACATGCTTCTCTACCACCTTCTCACTCTCCACCAACCGTCAGCTTGAACGGCTGTGGGTGAGTAAGGGAGAGCCATAGTAGCAACGACTCCATTTTGTGCTGTGACTGTAGGCGACAAGCGCAGATGTTGTCGACACGCGACATTGGCACGCGACGCGACGTGAAAGGACAGGTCTCTTGATAATTTGGCGGAAGGCCTTTTTCTACAATATAGGGCTAATATAGGGAATCAGAAAACAATATAAGGACCAATAAAGCAATTGTCTAAAGCATTCACATTAGATATGCAGAAAAAATATTTTCATTTGCCATAAAGTCAGCATTTTCTACATACATCATAGCAAATAAAATAATGGCCTCCTCCTCCTTTTCCTCCTCCTCCTCCTCCTCCACTTCCCCTACAGCCTTTCCTTACCATCACCAAGAAATTAATTACACTTGACAATCAACTATGAATGAAAAAGTAAAGGACATACATATATATCCTTTACATTTTTATTCATCCCTAGTATATATAGTAAATATAGAAACACTTGAAGCCCTGAGCCTTTTTACATATCAACCTATCCTACACAGGTGTGTGCTCTTCATATTAAATATATAATCTTAACAGAATACAGTTCAGAGACAGAGAAAGCCTGCGAAAACATAGAGTATAGGCAAACTATGATACATAGACACCTAGCGATAAATTAACTACCCGTTACTACGTCCGTATATCCCTATCTATCACATCCTACCCACCTCCTGTAACACCATAGCCGCATATTGTTCTGTCTATCCCCTCTCTCTCATGTTTCAGCCTCTTTCCCTTTGCTCTCAACCTTCTCTTCCTCCTCACCCTTCCGCTTCCCTACCGCGCTTACATATCGATATTCAAACTATAGAGTTGACCTCCTTGCATGAACTGTTTCCCTTGCATCCCCTTTCCCTCTCTCACTTTCAATGTCGCATTCTCTCTCAATTTCTATGTCTGCCTGCCTATCTTCTGTTTGTCTGTCTGTCTCTGACTCGGTCTCTCTCTCTCCTTCCCTCCCCTCTCTCTCTCTCTTCCCTCTCCCTCTCCCTCTCTTTCTCCGGCTCGCTCCCTCCGGATATGGTTATTATGTTTATTATTTACGTTCTTTATTATGGTCAAAATTATCAAAAATTGCCAGATCTTTTGGTATATTTTTGGGCCCTTAAACCCTTAACAGCATAGAACTGCTTCGCTTCATCTATATTTCAATTAAAAACATTGATATAACCATCAGTTCTAGACATCTGCAAGTAATAATATATGCTAATACAATATGCAATGCTACAAAATATGCAAGTAAACTGAAAAAGTAGTTTTAAGGTCTGTCACAAACAAGGGGTTAATGCACCATGTTGTACCCGTTTACCATGCTGAAACTGATTTTTTTTATCAATATCACATCTAGGCCCATGAATACAGTCAGATCTGACACAGTGATAACATGTATTGGTGTAATGCTGTTATCATAACTCTGTGTACTGTGTACGTTATCAACTTCAGATTACTGATTGGCTTTGCTCTATGGTAAGATTTTAGCCTGACGCAGCAAAATACCACAAAATGGGCGCGCTTGTACACATACGATTCGCACGATGTGATAACGGGGGTTCTTAAGCAAAAACGCACGAGTTGTAAAACAAACAATGTTCAAATGTCGCTTTGCTTTTCCATTTTTTTAGAGCGAGACGAACAGAATAATTATTATTTGCAAGCGTGCCACGCCGCAGAAACGGGTTTCTATACACGTAGGCTTATACATTTCGCATTTCTTTTTGCGAAATAGCTCTTTTATCTATCTCGCCACTTGGTGAAATGACAGCGTATATGTAGTCACGCCATCCACGCACGCACGCACGCACACTTGCACCTTCGCGCGCACGCACGCACATTCACGCATGCCCGAACGCATGTCGGCACGCTTGCAGGCACGCACGCACGCACGCACAGTTGCACCTACCCGCGCACGTTGGCACATTCACGCATGCCCGAACGCATGTAGGCACGCATGCAGGCACGCACGCACACACGCGCGCACATACAAACTCCAACACCCGCCGCGGGTACACGCACGCGCACATGCGTTTAAAGAAAGCATAGGGGACGCGCGCATATACGCACACTATAAGCAGATCATTGCAGCTGATTTTCTAGTCGTAAATGCAGAAGATGTTTGATAAGAATAATCAGCAGTTGCAACCCGCTACATGACCGAGCCGGGTCGTGGGATCGCGAGTTCATCGGGTGAGTCAACGTGAAATGACAGGTGCGATAATGCTATCATAAGCGATGGCAATATGATATCAGCACAGTGCGGCAATGCGATACAGTATGAGCAATCGCAGTAACTAATTCGGCTAAACAACTTTATTATATATAGATACGCTGCGGTTATTCGGGGAATCCCCGCCATCCTATACGCAGCAATCTTACATTAAAGTGCAAACTCACACAAAGTTTGTTGGTCGTCATCTTGTAAAGACGCGATCTTTACTTGAGCAGAGCAGGGCTGAAAAAATAGCAAAATGGCAGCCGCCGAATCGGTAAGTATACTAAAAGACGGGTAGAATATATACCTTACAACGACTATGTTGCAGTTGTTCGATTCCGCCATTTATATTGTTTATAACAGCCGTAGGTGTCGTGCATGGGTATGCTAGCTGTGTCCCGTAATATCTTGTACGAGAGAGCTAGTGCGCGCGCGTGTGTGTGTGTGTGTGTGAGTGCGTGTGCGTGCGCGTATGCGTGCGTGCGCCTGTGGGTGCGTGTGTGCGTGTACGTGTGTGTGCGCGCGTGTTCGTGTTAGCCATAGTCAGAAAAGAAAGATCAAAGGAGAATGGCAAAATCTAGCTATCAAAATACATCCTAGACATGTAGGGGCGTAGTCAGGGGGGTTCGGACAACCCCCCCCCCGCGGCATCAGGAGTTCCGCTCAAATGTATACAATTTTTAACCCTATTTCTAATTCCAAATACCGGTGGTGGTACGTAGAGTATTAATACAAATTAACAAAATTAGCAACAATGAAAAGTTCCGTCGATCCTCATTATTATCCAGTATACGTATATAGGCCTATGTATAATTCCCACAGTATTGTGAGAAATAATTAATTGAGCATTGTGTAAAGTTTTTATTTATTTCCATAAAATTAACCGTTTCAAACCGGGTCCAAGTGACAGTCACTAAATTAGTTTAAATCCTTAATTTAAACTTTTACAAATCAATGAAACCTAAATTGAATTTTAAAGGAATTTAAACTGATTTTCTCTAAATCGGGTCCAGAAATTAGTTATGTAGCAAAAAGTTACTCAAAAACCATTATTTCGTGTCTATAAAAAATGCTATTTAAAAGTGCTGGGAAATCGCACCTAGAGCCATTAAATGTTCGAAAATTTTCTGGGGGAGGACCAGACCCCTCATGTGTTTTGCGCTTAACGGCGCTCGCGCTGGCAGCTTTGCTGCTATTTCCTATGTTTCGATAGTATAAAGTTCCACTGCTATTGTAATAAGACCCCCCACACACACACAACTTGTGTAGGTATGGTTGGTACTACTATACGTAACAATGCGGGTGGTGTTGTAAAGTTATACACAGCATGAGGACTGGATTATACAGCAATGTAATGTCTACAATTTATGACAGGTTTCCATTGGAGAAGGACTTGCATATAACTACTATACAGGTTATCTAAACCTGGTACTACCAAGCCTATCTGAGAGGATCGATAATAGCGAAAGTGGTAAATATGTAAAGAAAAAGAAGCTACTTCTTTTAATACCTACCAACGCAGAAATGCCGCCGAAACTGCAGGAGGTGGTAGCTAGCATCAGCTATGTTGGCGCACTTACACCATTTGTCGTGGAAAGGGCTGGCTTTCAGAGAAAGTACCCTAACCATGTCTACAGCATAAAACACAACGAAAAAGTAGGTATAACTTGTATTTTTACGCATGGTCATATAATCAAGAGCGTATTAAGAAGCTTTCCTTCTTAATACGCTCTTGATATAATATATAACGTACATCCATGCACTGCTAAAATGTAATACTGGTAAAATGTGCTAAAGTAGTTTATCGTCCCTCCTGAACACATTATTTTTTCAAGCGATGAGACAGAAGAGAATTTTTTCTTACCTGGTTGGTAATGTTATATTTGAACATATAATGAGATAAACGTTGTTTTTCAATGTGCCGGTTTCGCTGAAGCTAAATATTTTAACCTATTTTTGCCTTTGGTTGTTGAAAGTAATTTCTCAGTAATTGCGAAATCTTCAATTCAAAGAACATGCAGTGATAGCGGCCAACAGCGATGACACACGCGGTAGATAAGAACTCTGCAGCAAAATTTGCAGTTTCTAGGAAAGCTAGATCTATCTGTTCTCCACTCATCAGATGATTTGTATTTGGTTACTCAGTGCAACAGCATTGCAATTATTTCACCTGTGATTACTATAATTATATACGTTGGTTAAGACTACGCGGTTGAAAAGAAATGAGAAGGTGAATCAAGTTGTACCTCTCCTTTCTTTTTTATAAACCAAGAATGTACGAGCACGTAAGAGTAATGAGAGAATAATTAAGCACATACCACTGAAACGCACTTTCCTGGCAAAGCAAACGTTGCAAAACATAACCAGACTAATTTGGGGCGAATCTAGTCGTCAATTTTTAACATTCCGTTCTTTATATCTTTGGAAATGAATCCTCTGAAACCAACACGCCATAGACTACAGACCGTTGTGCTGCCTCTTGTCCAAATATGTCAACAGTTTTTGTTAACGGCTACGTAGGCTTTGAATCATTTCGTGCTATAGAGTCACGCACCGAACACGCGACAGGCCGCTTATCTCAGCCGGTAGAACTTCAAAGTTGGGCCCAACCTATAAACACGTTTTTTCGTTAGTACATCGTTAGTACATCGTCTATGCGTGTGCTAATCAGCACGTTCATAGTTCGTCACGCATTCATTCTTATTGATGAAGCGAGCATCTGCTGACAAAGTGACACAAAGTGAACGATAGCGATGGTTTCTTTTTCGTCCAGGAGCTGAGTTTCGTCGCAGACATGCCCGCAAACATGCTGACTCTGAGAGATATGGTAGCTGATGCCAAGCTGACTGGCTTCACCGAGGAGGATAAACTACAGGAGGTGCAGAAATACGTGGCTTTCCTTCGTAAAACTCTGGAAAAGCGCCCGCACCTGTCGGAGGCATGCGAAATAATTGTGTTTAACGGTGAGACGGATTATGGTTACTATACTGACATTGCTTGTACCTGCGCAGAGATATACTACACGAAATTTACAAGATATCGCTAGACCTTTATATTGGATTATTAGTGTTTCTATTCATAGTGCACTTGTAAGTGTCGTAGTGCACCAACAGTTTATAGCTACAATATAATATTTTATTACTTGATTAGCTAGCATGACTTGCAAATAGGGGTTGTATAAAAGATCGTGATACCGCTTGCACGCAATAAAATAAAGCGCGATAATTCTAACTGACGCTGCATAAAATTACGATGACGCATTTTCCCATTTTTCGCCAGGCCACCATTGACTACGTCACGAATTTTAGTATGGTAAAATTTGTAAAAAAAATTACATTAAAAGTAAAAACTAACGGGACTAAACGTATCGTCAAATTCTTACCTGATAAGATTGTTTCTCAACTAGTTAAAAATCCAAAAAACCTGGACGATTTGATATTATATGTTCCTGACATTAATTGCTTGCTATGTGCTATGTATGAGTCACGAATGTATGTTCACATCGAACAATATAGTAAAATAGGAAGTATAATGCAGCAATTTAACCATAAAAAGTGAACAGAATTACTTATATTTTGTGAAAAAGTGGAAATGTTTTTTTATTTTTACTATTTACCGTGACGTAAACACTTTAGGATTACATAGTTCGTGCGACAACTCGTGTTTTACACCAGTAATTGTTCGGTTTATTTTATAGATTCACGTGAGGCTGAAGAGTTGATTGCAGCAGCAGCTTCTCGTGCTTAAAAAGGCTCACAATGCGCATCACTAAGCCGTAATTTCTCCAGTACTAGCCGGATACTCAGCCAGTACTTCCGTGGTCATGCCCTAAATCCACTCCTTATGACACAATACCTCTAGTTGCTCCCATTTCCTGCGGCGTTGCTAAAAGCCACAAGACAGGGGTGAGAAAACTGCATTCTGAGCGCCAAGACGCGTACCTGTTTGCAAACTCAAAATAGCCTTCGGAGGTGGTTGCGTGACGATCACCTGTCTTGTTAATTTGGCTGCGCCGGTACCGCTGTACCGGCAGCCGCCGCGCCCGTGCTTGGGAAACTGTCACAACATCGGCGAATTTCAACAACTTTGGAGGTATTTTCAAAATACCTTTTATAAGACAACGTACAGTGAAATGGGAGGAACTAGAGGTTTTTTGTCATAAGGTAGTGTGATTATGCATGCCACGAAGTATTTGCTAGTCTACTACTGGAGTAATTAGCGTTTGGATGCGCATTGTGAGCCTTTAAAAGGGCATTCATACCACGACTACTATCGACTACTACTACTACGACGACGACGACGGAGAATACGGACAAGGAAGAGAATTTGTATAATCAGTTTTGATATTTACGGTACTTTCTACGGCATCTTATCATCGACCCTTTCTAATCACACGCGACATCGTGCCTGAAAATAGAAGACGGTTAGAAATGCACAACGTCGTGTTTGAAAATGGCAGTCTGAGTCAAATCGTACTCAGAAATAATTATACGCTGGTACCGTATAGATTGGGCAAATAAATGGCCAAATAAATGGTTTATGGATACGTTTCTGGTACAAGACACAAATACTCCAGTGAATAGGTTTAGGTGTGGCCTGGGTCCTCTATCAAGACCGCTCGATGTCGTCTACCAATATCGATCGATGTCTTAAAACACCGTTTGAAGAGAATTTGCTTGAACTCCAGGCAGTGCGTGTGAAACCTTCTGTCCTGTCGCTCCAGCCACCCACGCTGTGTGACAAAAGAAGCGTCAAAAGCGCCGTTAAGTTAGTTAGTTAGTTAGGTATCATGGGCGGATCCAGATGGGGGGGGGGGTCCAGGGGGTTCGGACCCCTTCTTTTATCCCCCAGAAAAGAAAAAAATGGAAAACACATAATAGATAATTTTCTGCTAAAAATTTGGAATTCTATCTTACATTCTAGACATCAAAATTACTGCTCAGATGCTCTCAGAATGCACCAGTTTTTAAACAATTTCTAAAATTCCCCAAACCCCCCCAAGTGGCATAAGCTGCCTTCGGCACCTTTTTAAAACACCAGAAAAATTAAGCAGGAAAAAGGGCCCTTTATTTCTTACTGGACCCTTTTTTTTCAAAAAGCTGGATCCGCCCATGGGTATTGCCTGACAAAATTTGCATGGAGCAGAGTGAGAGACCTTGGTTAACGCATGTCCAGCAGTGTCTGTCAAATACACTACAATTTTGTTGAAATTATACGTTTAAAATGGAGAACTCATCGCAGTGGATTGGCCTGAAAAACACCCCCCGCGATGCCTATATTTAATAAAGATAAAAGCTAAATAATAATAAGAAATAATAATAAGCCCAACGTAACGTGACACTAATAAAATATATCAATTTTATTCAATAAATGAAATAATAGAAAATCAGTACGTCATAACATATTGCCAACGAACTCTGCCTGCGAGATTTGGTTATCATAGGCCACGTGGAGTAGGTGATAAGTCCAAAAACACCTTTTCACCTCTCTGAGTAAAATTCTGAGAATTTTAATATTTTCAACTTGCGTCAAAAATATGCAGGGATCGGTAAGAATAGGTACGTGATTGAACTAAGTGTATATCGAGGGTATTTAGGTGGGATTAGTAGTGCCTCATATTACAGTGTTTTTTTGTGCACACGTGTTTAAACATAAAGAACCCCCATGGGTCAAATTGTTACACTGTAACAACTTACCCCACTTCCCAAAGTTATTGTGTAACAAATTACCACAGGTGATGTCACAACTTGCCCCGAAATGGGCAAGTTAATTGTTAAAAATGTTTACGTTAATTAATTGCGTAATTACTAATATCTTATTCATGTTTACTTGCGTTTCAAAATTGTCACTGTTTTTAATAAAAGGAGATAATTATCTTTTCACATGGAAGAAACTACTCGTTTTCCTCTATTCGTTTGTTTGATACGGCTGAAAATGTGAAAATTGTAACAACTAAACCCGGACTCCCTTATTTTGTTGAAGCTTTACTTTCAATTTCGACCGGTAACACATATGTACCACCACATGCCTTAAATTATTTAAAGAGTAATTAGAGAGTTATTCGAATTGTATTTAGAGGACATATAGTCACCAGTCAAGTTAATCAGCATGTGGTGCCTGGTAGTGCAAAATTACGGTTTAAAATCGCGGGAGACCATTGTTCGCAAATGCCCATCTCTCAAATAAAATGAGTTTTTGCTGAAACTATATGTATTTAAAATGGAGGGCAAATACACCTGACAGTAGCTTCACATCAAAAATGAATTTCGGTGCCTTTATTTTATAAAGATAGAATGTCCTTGCTGACCCAACACTTGCAAATTTAAATTGTCCATTGGATGACGATATGTGTATTTCATAAGATTCAGCTTTATGATATTGAATCCAATAACGCCTTACTGAAATAATACAATTAATTTAAAGAGTATAATATATCCACCGGTAGCTTTCTAGGTGCCAGGTCGTACGAAATCTTCCTGTATAAAAACGGGGCATTTGTGTTCGCGCAAAAGTATCTGCCAAGTAATATCATATTTCGTTGAAAGTAAAGAGGAACACTCCTAAAGGGGGACATTGAGTGGGACAGTTGTTGTACCGTGAAAGTGTGATGATCTCCGTGTAGGTTTGTAGCGTCGACAGCGTAGAAGGTAGCAGCGTTGTTTCGTTAGCAAATGGTAGAGCCGTAGTCGCAGATTAGTTGTTTCACTTGAACTTTATTACTTACTCAACACATACAAAATATATACAATACCCCAGCCTAGGCAACATGCCTAGGCTCCGGCGACCGTCTCGATCTGTCTCCGAAATTTTACATCTTCTCTCTACATCGTGGGTAGGTAACCCCTCCTGGGTAGGTAACTCTCATTGTCTGCCCGAGCGTCTCTATTTATCTGATTTCTAAAATCGCCCGGCGACATTTGGATCCGACCGGTTCTTCGTGATTATCGGCCGGACCTTGCGGGGCTATGAGACGCGTCCCGTGTCATTACAAAAACAACAACAAACAACGAACATGACAATTAGTCCCACTGCTTCGCCTGGCTAGAACGCTCCTGGTTAATTACAATGTACCATACAACACAGGCAGTCTACTATGGAAGGCCATTACCGCCAAAACCTACCTATTTTAATCGCGCTTAAAATGTATTTTAAGCGCGATTGAATTCCAGCCAATCAGAACAGTGGTTTTTTAATCGCGATTAATATATAGATCCTACAAGTACAATGTCGGATAGGACTGATTTTATACGGCACTGCCGTGATCAGTTCAATACCTGCGTGCGACTGCTTACGACGGATGGAACGGTCGACTTTGTGGAACACAGGTAGGCGCAAAGCAAAGGTTAGGCGAGCCGTTCGGTTCAGCGTTGCTGCCTTGAGGTGCACCGAACTTAGAATTGAATTAACCATTAACACGTTCTTTATTATAATGTTTTTTTTGCATCATTGTATTTTTACAAATTATGGTGATAAATAAATTTTTTGAATTGAATTGAATTGAATTATTAACAACATAGCAAGCCATAGGCTGAATAGCTACTTGCCTGAGTCACACTAGTCTAGCATATAATCATCTGAATGGCAATGACGTCATTGTTTATCACCATTAACGCAATGATGTTAAGCTTCAAGTTTTGTTATACTTATAGGTCTATAAAGTATTGTTACTTTACAACTCCGAAGTTTCAGCGACACGTTGGGTTGCTCTAATTTAATTTAAGCCAACGGGAGTGGCTTTCGATAGTCAATATCCAATTGGCAATTATTCCATAGACTATCCTATTAATTTAGTATTTATATGAAATGCAAGTTCCTGTTGTGTTGGCCCTATTTCGCAAATCCATCCACAGTGTTAAATCCATTTGCCAAAATTTTACACAAATATTTCATTAACAGACTGAGAAGAATTCAAAGAGAGTTGCGCCTTGTCTCTGGTGACATTATCAGTTTAGATGAGGCATTAGCTTTAGTGCAGTTGGTTGAAGACTTGTTGTCTCAGGTAGGCCTACTGCTTGTCTCAGGTAGGCCTACTGCT